ACGTCATTCACCACCCCAATTCTCGTGAAATCCAAGCCCTGAACGGACGCGTGGTGACCTTGCTTACCAAGGCCCAGTCGGTGTGCTAGCTGTGATTAACATTAATGTAAATGATCAAGTGTTGATATATATACCTAAGGGAGGTGCCTCACCAGAACCTTCGAAGGGTCCAAATTCGTCTCTGAAACTTGTCCTCGTAGCTGAAATGAAGGGCTGCCGAAAGTGTTAATTCCGCGACAACCATGGGTAAATTTACAACTTCTTTTAGTTTTAAACATTAATCCAAATATCCATGGTACAGTCAGTATGTACTAACTTACAGTTACTAACGTTAGTATTACAGTACTATTAATAAAGTACTGGATGATCAATTTATGATACTCTATAGCGATTTTAGCGGATTGGCAATCAGATTTAAGAGTACGCGTTCGCGTTCCATATGAGGTTTGACAGGTCGACTTCTGGTTTTGGTAGCAAAGTGGAACGCGACCGCGAACGGACACTTGCAAAACCTCTCTAACGTCAAAATCTCTGCTGCCGACACCCCAAAAGGCGGACCGACAACTGGGACAGTCAAATTTCAAGTTTGATGAAGACATCGCACTTTCCATAGCGTACTACAAGGAAACTACCTACCTACTGTACGCGTGCTGCCGCTGGCACAGATCAGTCGGGATACACGTTTTGGACCAAGGTCTCATCGACATACGACGCACAAGCACCAGTTATGTCAGTCCTCAAACCAACCAGTCAAATCTAACGAAAATTCTGCCATTATTGACGTGTCGTTGAGCGTCGGCACCAGAATTTAGAGTTCGGCGGTGGAAGAATGAAAACGCTAAAATTTGACAGAAAATATACAGTTCTGAAGTTTTAGGAGTGGGGATGCTCTTATAGAGGTACTAACTAACCATGTCACAGGATTTGCCGGCCGCAGTGAGGTGAAGATCCCGCACGTCATGAGCGGAGATATCGTTCCCGATCACATAGATATTGCTAGAGATGGCACAGTAATTTGTGATGGACAGGAGATGCTGCGGTCATCCGTGATCGACGAGACGCCTCAATGGAGCTTCCAAACGATGGCGATAGACCATTCATTCATTGGTTGTGTCCTAATTTTGGCTCGATTAACTAATTAATTATCCCTCGAATGACCTTAGGGAGGTAATTCGCAAACTCGTTTTTGCGAATGAGGTAGAATTCAAAATGCGACGATTTGATTGGCTCTACGCCATTCTGAATTTTACTCGGAACAGGTCCTTTCATAACAGTTACTACGTAGTACTTACTATTAATACGTACTACGAATAGGGAGTTTTCAGAAATAGCATAGGTTGCGTAAAAATCGTAGAAAAAGAGGCAAAAAAGTAGGAACTGTACTTGGAACCAATTTTTCATTTGTTAAAAAAAAAAAATCTACTTGGAACAAGCCCTGAGCACACTTTGGAATTTGTACCCGAGGCCTTAATACAGTACCCATTTGCATCCGTTCCCCGTCAGCGTCTTGGAAATAGTGTGCCTAATTTGGTATGAAAAAGTCGAGCATCGAGCATAACGTCGGTCCTGGAAACGAGCAAAATCTATATTTTTGATGGCAAACGCTAGTACTACAGTATGTAGAATACATCTCTAACATGCTGAATGGGCCTTGGTAAGTAAGGTCACCACGCGTCCGTTCAGAGCTTGGATTTCACGAGAATTGGGGTGGTGAATGACGTTGGACCACTGCTTCAATTGCGCCTTGGACAGGGTCTGCACTTCTTGCAACACATTCCACTCGACACCTTCCGTGAACGGCTCCGTCGTGAGCGAGCCAGAGTACCGAAATACGTTGCTCTTGCTCACCCGGAGACTCGACGGGTCGAGCGCCGCCAGCGTAAAGTTGTCGCCAGGCTTGGTCAACTGGTCAAACTGGCTAAAAAATTGAGTCAAGAACGGGTTGGCCTTGTCTTGGGGGTCCAAGTCAAAGAAGATGCCGACCACGGCCAGGTTCTTGTCCTTGTCAGCGTGCACAAAATGCACTTCGAACGGGTACTGCTTGCCCCCGAGGGTGTGTTCGCTGGGGGCGTGGGGGTGCAGTTGCAGCGACTGGTACACTTTGCCGTTGAGGGTCAAGTGCGAGTCTGGCCCCCCCGACCACGTGGCCTTGACGGTGTGGTCCTCATGTGACACCACAGCCGAAGCCGTGTTGAACTCGACCGAGAAGTTGCCGGAGTTGGCCACGGGTTTGGCAGAGGCAGGCAAGTCGATGGGGGACTGACCCTTGAGTGTTTGGCCTGTGGCGATGGCGACAGTGGCAGCGATGGCGTACACGAAGAACTTCATGAGGGCAGTTGGGAGGAAAATGAATTGTGATTAACGACGGCACTGAGGTATCGAATCCAGTTTCGTGGCATTACACATGCCTTTATATTCATTCACCAGCCGTGGCTTTGAAGGTGAAGTTGACGACAAATTTCATCACGGCCGGGTACAGTACATATGCGATTTGGTCATTGTAAGTTAGGCGAGATCGGCCATGTTTCCTGCCACGTGGTGTTGAGTTGTGAATTTCGATGTCACAGGCGTCCGTTCTAGGAAGATATGTTCAGTAGGAAACTGTTTGACGAAAGGTTTGCTACTTTCTTGGGAGCGCAGGGACATGGAAGAACATACAATACCATGGTAATGTACTTACAGTTATGATAAGTACTGAACATTAGTGAACTACTCGTTCATAAAAGAAGTACAGTAAGTGTTCGATGCAAGTGCCAGCACGGCGCAGGCGGCCGCTCACTCCGGCATGACGACATGAAGGATATCACATGGTAATACTAGTAGTACTTACAATGTGCCGGTATCAAGGAGTACCACACTATGGTGCGATTAATTTGCGCTACTTCGAAGTACTACTGTAGTAAAAGGTAGCGTTTACGCCGGAGTAAATGGTACACTAGTACATCGTACCAATCGACCCCCTCCGTGAGAAGTCCATTTTCCTACGAGTACAGTGAACGCCCCCTACAGTACAGTACCTCACCTTGAATTACAGGGTTGGCCTAGCAAATGCACGATCTGGGGTGTTAACCTTGGCGACAAATTCAATGCATCGAATGGTGCAGTAATGTTAGGTTAAGTAACTTAACGTTAAGTTCTTTCTTTACCCGTACTACTGTTGCAACAGTGAAGTTCAACCGCCTGATTGCACAAGTTGTACCGTACACAACAACTACGATAATGATAGTCAAGTTAGTCAAGATAGCGCAGTTTTATATATAAGTATTAAACGAAGTACTATTATACCTCTAGCCGGAAATAAACCAACCATAACAAAATTGTTGAAAGACGGAAATAAACCCACCACAAGAGAGACTCGCAAAATTGAATAAATTCCAGTACAAAACATTGTCAAACTGTAAACAATAAAATAGTACACAAAGTTTATTAAAAATACTCTCCTTGCATAGTGAAGCTCTGTCA